AAACATTATCTGAAGGACATTGAATCATAAGGGTGAATGTGGACAATTGACCTTGATATTAAAAAAAAAGATTTCCTAAATAACTGAAGGCTTTTATTGTGTCATTTTGTAATCTCGCTATTGTTGTGTTTTACTATTGATGTCTGTTATGTAAAGTATATATTCAAGGAAGAAATTTACATGTCGTTAGTGGTTTTAGAGACAGTTGTGTTCAGATACACTACTGCATATGCTTCCATACATCTGTTCACCGTCACGATCTGTGGTTCATCTTTTTAAAGAACTTAACCCATCAGTATTCAACGATACACAGCTGATTGTCTTAACATGTTTGTTACCCTTGACACTTCAAATGAAGATAGCACATATTACACATGAAACTTGTAAATAACATCCACACTATACGTATATCTACTGTGTATGACGTTGATTGCAGGTGTACATATATTGTACATTTCACGCACCTGTCATGTCATAAACGTGCCGGGTATGGCACCGCGGAAGGCCATCTGGTAAATGTCGACCGTGATACATGACACCCACATTGCCGCTTCCATATATCACATGGGACGGCAGCAGTATGTGAGGATAGGGTCGGGTGGGAGGAAAGGGGTGCTATTTTTCGGGGTTTTTATCTTTTGTCTTTAGAAGGGGATGGGGGGAGGGGTTGTTTGAGGAGGAAAGATGGGTAAAATTCTGTCATTTTCTTTATCCCATCACATATTCACAGAGACATTTAAGGTTTATAGATGTTTTTTCACAAATTATGTGTTTGAATATTTGTTCGATTTTGTAAAATATATTGCACTGTTCTATTGTCAGCTGAGTTCTGGGACTGAGTAAACGCTTTTTTCTCTGATGTTTCATCAATAAAAACATCCATTATATAAACAGCAGCTGTATTTATCAATCTATACATTCGCATTAAAGAAAGTATAAAAGTAAATGTCGGATATAAGACCTAGGTATAACTACATTTATACTGCACGGATATGGCGTTATATGTTTAAGATGTTTAAGTCAAGCAAAACAATGTCGAACTCCCGAAAAGCTATTATTACCAAAAACATTATTAGACGTAATATCAGCGGGTATATGTCAGATATAACATTTCATTGTTGCAATTGGACTTTTTTTTAAATAACCTGCATCTAATTGCAATGTTAAAACGAATTGTGTGACTCTCATATGTGGAGGAAAAATATTTGATTTAATGGGTGCCTTAAGGTGTATGGTATTAATTACGTATAAAGTTATTTTTGGTTAAATGCACTTAGAAAAACACCTGTAAGTGACCTGTTTCATTTAACGCCCATGTCACTCATGAAACAAAAGTCAAAGATACATACAATCAAAAATTGAGAAAACATTTATCGTTTTAATCTCCTGATTAGAATAATCATTAAAACGACTCATACTCTGAAGCACAGGTGCCCCAGAAGTGATCACTACTAATAGATTTCAAGTGGATTACGTTTTTATAGGTAGGATTAAACAAGTCCCCTAGCCCAAACTGCTTGCCTCGGTGTCCGGCATTAATCCCTCTTGAGCTGCCGTACCCCAGCAGCCGCGTCCGACCCTTCCTGACAGTACATCTAAGTTATCAGTCCCCCTGGCGTTTCGCCCCGGGGATAGTTTGAACACCTTTATGAAGCTAGCTTCATCATTTGACGGGTATTTTCTTAAAGTAAATAAAGCTTTGACGCTCAATCGGGCTTTTTTTCTCCGAGTGTCTGCAAACAATACCCTAATTGCGCACGTTCACATAGCTTCACGTGGGAGATCTCCGTAGAATCGTAAGCTTGCAATTGAAAGAAACTTTTCACCTGGACCGCAAGTGTCACTACACGTGTGTACTGCGCCTCACACCCCGATTTCATCGGACCGAGCCCCGCGCACAGGTGCTTAATTACAGGTATGCAAACCCAACGGCGAAACGTTTAACCTCAGCGTTCCCTGTGGAGATGCTTTTTCGGGTTACATGGGTTTCAGGTGTTTCGCTATCCAACCGACCGCTCTCACTGCTTGGACGTTCATGCAGAGCAAAGAAGAATTATGCGAAATAAAAGCTGTCACATCGGTTATTGTCCACAGTGATTATAGAAAGGTTCTATACGGGGTTTCTTATGTTATAATCCGCTAGTGTGCGAGCGGGGACCGGCTAGTGGGTCGGTGTTTGCCACCACTTCTCACGATACGCAACTGACTACTGCATCAATACCCAGACCCTCCCCTCTCATTTTCCACAATGGCAAAACTAAACAAGATATTTCTTAATGCCCCTTTTCAACAACAAATACAAGTCCCTACGTATTCACTAGGGTTTGTTCACAAAACACTCTCGCTTCAACACAAGCGCTGCAGGGAGCGTATGGCTTTTAGAAATTTCTAATGGTGGAGAGATTCGGTAGAAAGGCTCGAATTTCTTCCTCTCTTCCTCTGAGTTATATACAAAATATATTATGTACACATTTTATAGTTAAATAACAGCCTCGGCGTGGTATAAGCGCTCTCATTATAAGCGATATCGCTCCATCCATTCATAAGTATAAAGAGCAAATTTGAATACCACGGTCCGTCGGGGAGGGTATTCTTCCCTAACGAGGTTCGCCTCTCGTGAAAATTACATTATTACGGAGTACAACATATGCCGAGAGATGGTGTTATAGAAATATGAGGGTCTAATAATAGGGTTGGTTGAGGGGTGGTGCGTTCGGAGGTGGGCAGGGACCAATATTTACATCATCCTTATTCCCATAATTTGATCTGCCATACACTCTTAGGCGAGTCTCCAAACTACGATTATAGAAACAAGCAATTAAAAAACTTTTAACGGAGGACCTGTTCCTCTTAACCAGTGTCTATCGATTAAAGGAGATATTATCACTTTTTAGTCATTTGGACTAAATTTGCGACTTGTGCGATGCAAAACCTCTGTACGAGCGGTTTTCCAAGCTAACGCTTTCCTATTGAGTCGCCAATCGGTTGGTTGTTTTTCGCTCGTTCGCTTTTGAAAAGAGAAGCAATTTACTGTGGAAGTAGTAACTGTCCCTGTAGCGCTTAAGAAACGGCGTTCAATAGGCGCGCACAGCATTACAATAAATCGCCTCAGTCAACTCTGTGAATAGCAGAAACACGTGTTAGAAAACTGTTAAGAAATCCCATTTCATAGCAAGAAGACGGGGTTTTGTCATATCGCTAGGTGGATCTAGACTTCAACCGAGAAAGCCATAAGCATCTGATAATAAGCTCTCTGTGTCCCGATCCGCGCAGCAATCAAACACCCCCGGTCGAAATATTTGTAGGGTTTTGTTGACAAGAGCTCCTCATGGGTTCCTTTTTTTACCATCTGTGCTTTTTGACAAAATATAAGTGATAATAAGCGATTGTATCTACCTGTTTCGTATTATTGGCAAGCTCTGGATATTGGTAGCGGTTTGTGTGGGTATAGCAGAGGATGGAACGTGGAGGGCTTAAGTGTCGCTCGACAAAAATGCGGATCTTTCATACAGCTCAGAGTTCAAACGTTGACAAGTGTATTCTTATTTCTGAAATGTTGTAAATTGCTGATTTGCAAAGATCAACAAGAGCTAGTGTTGGGTAACAATGTGTATTTATATATATGTAAGTAAATATCATACGTGGCTCATTGTATACGCGTTCATATGAAAATAGTTATTTAAAGTTCGTTGTATATAAACAAGTTTACATTTTAAGGGATATGTTTCAATCACAATCTATGTTTAAAAGTATAAGGACGTCTAGTGTTGGGTCGTCATCTTCAAGTTATGTATCTAAGACTCCTATTATTAAATTGCTCCGAATGGGTGAACATCAATTGAATTTTCGTTTAAAAAATGATATAACAAACCATGATGTTGATGCTGAATATAACTTATGTGGCGTCTTAGGGAAACATAGACCATTCAGTATGTCTTAACGGGTTTGGACGATAGTGATTTTATATTACAGTTACCTATTATTTTTATGTTAATTTTATTTATATATTATATCATTTTTATATCAAGATAGACGAATTTAACGGCACATATTCTGGTTTAAAGAACAGCAAAACAACGTTTTTATGACATTGTAATTCGTAGATACTGGTATAATTTATCAGTACTTTGGGATAGATTAGATAATTATTGAACACCTCTCTGAAGTAAAAATAGCAACATTTCAAGGACGAATTGAACATAAAAATAACATGGTTTTCCCTAGTAAAAATATCAAATATATATTAGAATTGCATATTTTCGACAAAGGGTTTTTACTCGTATATCCCATTCCTGAAGCTGATCCAATTCACGTTTTCTAGTCCAAGCGAACTGAATACAGTTGTATATATCCCAGAGATATCCCATCATCCGTGCGTATCAGAAATGATAAAGTCAGCTCTAAAGTTGTTTAGAAGTCAGGTTTTAAGAGTCTGTGGCGTGCCAACCCGGCAACAAAAGTCTACAAACGCTCCTCGTAGACTACAGCTACTATATACACAAACAACTTCACGCTATCCTAATAGATTACTGAACAAAAGTTTCATCGACTTCCAGTTCATTAAATAATCGTTTTTCTTGTCTGATTGATGCGGCTAAGCGGTGTCTATTAGCCGGCGAGCCTCCCCTCTCGTTTCCCGTCTTCGTCTCATAATCGCTACTTGACACCGGCCCGCCTTCATGGACCGAATCACTATGGCGGTACGTATTGCTACTTTCTTCCCATCTATGGACGTTCAGTCCAAATTCGGTACGTAAATTCTGTTCCTAGTCGCATTTCTCAAGCGTGGCTGAATTTTCTTACGGGGATCAGTACTTATCGATTCGCTGGATTAATCAATCAGCGACGGCTCAACTCGCCTGTCGATCAGTCACCCGTGACGTCACCTAGCCAATCTCCTTGCAGCGGTGGGCGGAGCTTGCGGCGATGGTGGCAGCCTACTGGTCGGTTTGCGCGTGCGCAGAGTTGTGGTAGGGCCGGCTCGGATTTGACGGACGGTATAGAAATCTTGAGATGAGTTGATGATCTACACTGTAGTACTTGAGTGGCCAAGTGTCTACACACAACACACGAGTTGTCAACAGCAGACTCCCAGAACCGAGCCAGGCGAGCGATCGGTTCTATGTCGCTTTCTCAGTGGAGCGCTGCTATGTCCCTGAGCCCAAAGCATACTACACCGTTTTCCGTCACAGATATACTCTCACCACTGGATCACGAGAATTACAAGAAGACAACCATCGAGGCGGCAATTCCGCCCCTCACCCCATACCGTAATACCCAACACCCCCAGAGCATGACAGGCATGGGTGGGATGGGGGGCATGAGTGTCCCCGTCACGAACCCCTACCACAACTACGTACCCCCCTTGTCTCACCACACCGGCTCCTTCCCCTCCCAGTACTGCCAAGGGTCGGATCTGGCTTACGGCGACCCCACAAGACATTCAACATCATCATGGTACGGTACCAACCCGGATCCCAGATTCGCATGTAAGTAATACTTCTTTATTTAAAAAGATAGTATCATATGTTGTTCATTTTTATGACTAAATTTACACATGTGCTTGGGTCTATGATGGGCGTCAAAGTAGGGTTTGTGTTTTCAAATCGTATTCCGTAATGGTGTTATAAATGTTTTATCTCACGGACAGGGATGTGTGGCCAACTTTAACTGGAACACAGCAGAAGGAGATAATTTGTCAGCGATAAACGGGTACAGCGTATGATAGGGTTAAACATCCTGTTTGGGTATACACAGTGTTCATGTTCAGCGTTCTATTCAGCTTTCAACTTTCTTTGTGACCAGGGCGAGGTTATATATAAACGGGTTAATATTTATTGATGATTTGCATTACTCGCTGAGCTGAGTTTCTGACGGGGATTTTGGCAGTTTGTGTCGAGTGATTGTCGACGACCCTCAGCCCCTTACCTAGCTCTCGAGATCTGAGAAGACGCTTCTAGTTATGTTGGTCACTCTCACCTCTTCATCCCCCTACCCCGGGGGTGACTGGACCAGCGCTAGACCCCGGGAACTACAACCAGTACTACACTACACATCGCCACGATACACTGGCAGTGTCCAATCTTTATTGCTAAAACGCCCAAGTTTACAAAGTTGTTGCCACAAAGTTCACCTACGTTTATCCGTTGTTTAATAAGTTTTAAAATGATTGAATGTTTAAAGTGTTCCCGTCAAGACGATAACAGTTTTAAGCAAACACAGTTGGTGGAAGGCAAAAGTAAATAATATGTTTGAACAAACTCTTCATGAATTTGTGATTTTCCTTTACCTCCAGTAAAATTGGATAGTCTGGAAATTTAATATCTTCGACACTAGACGGGGCAGTTGACGGCACTTCGCTTTGTTGTATAGACTTGTATTCCACGTCGTTCGGCCCCATTCCATAGTTTAGTTGAGTCAACACAGTAAAAGCTCCGAACCTGACAATTTCAGTAATTCAGTTTTAAGAGTCAAAAACTGAATTTCTTTACACAGCAATTATTTTCAGTCTTTGGAAACAGCATGTTCTCGTGCTTTTGATCTTTTATAGAAAACAAATTTTGTGTTTATTATCAAAAATAATATTTGAAATGGAATTTGTGATGTTATAATATTCCGTGTATTTGGAAAACAGAACTTAACACGGTAAAAGTGAAATCTGGTGCAGTATCCACGTTTTTCGAGGGCCGATCTTATTATTGTGTTGTAAATTTTAGAGATGCGTTGACAGCTTGAAATCAAACAGAGAGCCTTGTCATATATTCATCACTTTGTTTATCTCGGCAAATACATTGCTTGCTCCTGTCATTAATTGATTTGTGTATATTTAACTCGCGGGATACATCCGGGGTATTGACACTGTGTTCATGCCTGTATTTAGAGAACATATCAGTTATTAGTCAGTGCTAATTTGTCAGTGGTGAAATACACGAACAGGTGTGCGTTATGTTAGACACACCATCCCCCTCCCAGATTCAAATCCCTACCCCCGGGATTACTGTCAGTATCATGGGGGATTTTAGCCGGTGCCCAGGGATAACTGTCACTACCAGCAGGTTTAGTGGTTTCATTTTCAACCAGGATTCATTGATTATCCATCAGAAAACGTCCAATTTTAAGACAAAAATCGAAGCTATTGTTGCGAAGAAAACAGTCGATTGTAAACGCGAGAAGAAGGTTGATTGTTATTTTTAGAAGAATTAATATCTTAGAGGAAACAGTCCTATATGTATTGACCCTCCGCGCGGTTAAAACGCCCCAGCGATTCAAACATTTCGTTAAAAAATAGAAAAACAGGAAAAATTGAATTTGAAAGGGATCCAGCGAAATAGTGGTGTTGATTGTTTGTATAGTGTAGTGTTCTTGTGCTGCATATTGTATAGACTTCTATACACGATGTAGCCCGGCCATTAATGCATATCCGACTACAATCAGATAAACACATCAGGACTTATTCCAACAATCCATTTGATTGTGTGGGTAAATATTCTTAAAGTATTACGCATACAATTTAATAAACACGGTTATAAGTTTAATATTCTTTACATTCCATTTATTTTCTAAATCGATACGCGACAGTTGTCCGCCATTCTTCTCCTAACGATCGGTGTACCTGGGGAAGTTCATGCTTTGTAATAAAGATAATTTTCCAATACGTTCAGAATATCAATATAATACACTTGTCTTACTTTTACTTCTTATCTTTATTTCTCCCTTTACCTTCATAAAACATGCATTTTACACCCAACATTACCGATAATGCACCCCGCCTAAATTTACTTGAATAATATGAAACAATACACTGGGAACTTTATGTATTTATGGTGCTTTCATAGTGCGTATAGCACTCTGATAATTTAGGTAATCTAAGTGTCATATCTATTAACATACCTATTACGTAAAATATAGTTATATGTGATCAAATACAAAATTCTGATCCTCTCTAGAAGCACGAGCCAGAGTGGTGTATAACAAAAATATATCGTTGACATTAATACCCAACGATGTTGTCTGTCCAAGCTTGTCTTGACCAGTGGTCAACCCACACCACACCTGTGTCGGATTTACCCGCCCGTGGCTATTATCACCAATTATCCCCACTTTGTAGCGTTGTCCGTCACTCAGGAAAGGTGCGAATCGTCACAGCTAGGGCGCTAGTGAAGAATAGAAAACGCTAAAACCATTACGACTTGTTTGGGTGCGCGATTACCCCCGGATCAAGCGCGCAGGGGCAGAGTAGCCCACCGGGTGCCCCGAAAACTTTCACACCTTCCCCCTAATAGTACTGTTTTGTTTCTCACCGTCAGATTAAGAAGAACACCTGGAATTATGTAGAGTGTATTTTATTTATGAATCAATCGGAAACCCATTTGACAGCTCGGAAGACCCGTTATGGATGAGTCGTTCAAATGATTACCGAAGATTGTTGAGTGTCGCAAGTTTGTTTAACTGAATGGTCAATAACCGTGTTTGAGAAAATGAGACGCAAATTTTATTTTACGTGTGAAAAATGTCAAACAATCATGTTGCGTCTGGAAGATGATTGTAAATTATTTTTATAAGATGGGAATGTCTGTTAAGCTTTATAGCGACCAATCAATTTAAAACAAATTATGAAAAATCGATTGAAATATTGGGTCAAAATCAAACATCTGTTCTCCTACCAGATTCTCAATTCAATTTCCCTAATTAAAGGTTTTTGTGTAAAATGCCCTCTATTGAAGATCAAATATGAAAATGGAAAAATCTATTACATTTGCGATTGATTTAGGTAATTGCTGACTATTGGGAATTATTAGGTTCGCGGTATGGCGGATCGTAGAGCCCATCGCTGTTTTCTGTCTCTGAAATCTGGGAACGGAAACCGCAGTGTAGCACCGCGGAAACTCTCTCTGCACCCGCATTCCTGGCTAAAATGAAAACCATTAGACCGTTTTTTTAAAGAAACACGTTTTGTGACAAGGAATAGTGTTTGTTTAATACGAAGCGATGCGACGATTTCATCAGGTTTGAAGGGGTATTTATGTAAACCCGCATTATGTATAAAGAAAAACTTGAAAGCTTTTCATTTTCAATTTATCCTTACATCCGTTTCTAAATTCACTGAAACGAAATATATTGTTTGAGAAATTAATAATATTAATCGCGGAGTTATTTCTTTGACGCAAGTTAAAAGGCATTTGTGCACCGTACTGAATCATTATCTTGAAAAACACAATGGGAAACATGGAATAGTTGCTATATTATTCATTAGACCGCAAATTCCAAAATCACCTACTTCAAACACCAAAAAGGAAATGACGTGGTCATAACGGCTAATTACCTGTTTCATTCTTGACACTTTTTGGCAACTTAAATTATTAATTTGAAGTCAAACGAATTAATATTTAGAGCTTTTATTCTTTGAGTATCGCTATTGAATTATTCTCATATGATGCAAAATTCGTTCGAAAATGAACTTTATTGTGAAGACGTGTAATACGTAACACGTTATATTCCCCTCGTACTGCATGTTGCGACATTGTCAGAGAAACAAGTGATGTGCAACGTGTTGTCTGAGGGAAATGCAATATAGCATATCGTTCAACCATGCATACTTCGTATTTCGAAATGCACTTGACCTATCACTGTTAGGTATTGTCAGAAAAAAAATGAACAAAAGTTTATCCGACTGTATGTTAACATTTATCATTCTAAAGTATTCTGAAAAAAGTTAAATATTTCCTAAATGCCCCGTTGTATACACTAGTTAATATGAATGTCTGCATTCAATAAATAATTACAAAATAATTATAAGGCTAGTATTATGCTTACATATTGATATGGAAATCGGTACAGCCTTGTTTGCTATGGAATTTAAATCAGGCTAAATATGATTCACAATTTTCTTACGTGATAAGATTTTCCTATCTTATCAGTTGTTAAAAGATTACTTTGCGCTGTTCAACACAAAGCATTGATAGCGCAATGGTGAACTACACTTTAACCAATCCGCTTCACTTCACTTAACTTCTACACTCTGATGCCTGGCCACGCTGCAATCACTTCGTGTCACCCATATACATGTGGTCACTTTTAGAATGTAGTACATATGTTTTTACACATTGATATAAAAATGTTTTTGTTATATTGTGTGTATTAAGCGTTCGATGTACCTCTTAGTTATAATCAATATCACTGGAAACGAAATAATTCAGTCCCAAAGTATCTAAGAGAATTACATGGGTTCTGTACTCTAAGGCTTGTATGCTGGACTAGTTGTGAACCAGGTGAGGGTTTTCTTGATACATCTATTGACAAATCAAAAAACACATGTATGTTGTGATTATTGATACACGCTAATAGAGTGCTATTACGGGTTAATGCTGTTATTGATGTGTGCAATACAAAAGGAATTATTTACGCCCGACCAGAACCATACCATCAAGACCAAGAGAAATAAATTTCTATAGTTTCAGATAATATCAAGCACGGATGATTAAAGATCATTCTGTATTTTCCCATGCTAGTTTTATGTGCATGAATGATCTTAAAAATAAATATTTCAGTTTAACAGATACTTTGGAATATACTTATTTCGTTTTTTTGTGTGTTTTTACTGACTTCGTAACGTTTTATGTTTTTATATTCCGAGAGCACATTTTGACACATTTTGTATCTAACGGCGTCTTCATCTCTTGCAGTTTCACGGCTGGCGATGAACAGCTCCTGTGCAATGTCCTCGATGCCAATGTCTGGAGGGATGGGAACTGGCCTTGGTGGTCTGGACCAGAGCGGGAGGGGGATGCAGTTTCCTTTGACCCAGAGACGCAAGAGGAGGGTGCTCTTCTCCCAGGCTCAGGTTTATGAGTTGGAACGGCGCTTTAAGCAGCAGAAATACCTCTCCGCTCCAGAACGAGAGCATCTGTCTAGCATGATCAACCTAACCCCGACACAGGTTAAAATATGGTTCCAGAACCACCGCTACAAGTGTAAACGTCAACAGAAGGATAAGGAAAAGATGGATCAGACATCAAAGGAAAGCTCAAGCAGTGACAGCAATCAGAACAATGCCAGATCGTCGTCGTCATCGTCGTCAAACTCCCAGTCAGCTCAGGCAAACAACAACAATAACGGTGGCAGCCAAACTTCTCAGTCAAACTCTAACAATCCCTCCCCACGGCGGGTGGCCGTTCCGGTGCTTGTGAAGGATGGGAAACCGTGTGCTAGTTCTGGGAGCAACGACGGAGGAGGAGGAGGTGGTGGTGGCCAACATCAGCAGCAGCAGAGTCAAGGAGGGTCCAGTCACCCGACTGTGTCTCCTTCTCTACAGCACCAGACCTCTCTCCATTCCTCTTGTGCTGTTTCCACTGCCAAGAACCTATCTCACTCAAACACTCTTGGGTCTCCGACCTTAGCCGAGATCTCCGGGTCCCTGTCACACTCTGGGGCGACCTCTCAGTCGAGCCACTCTGTGCTGCACCACGGCTTGGGTGGTTACAACTCCCCCGGCATCAACTCCAACGCCCTCTCCTCTTCCCCGTATCTGGTAAATGGAAGAACTTGGTAACTGGATATATTTCTTCCTTCTTATGGACATAAACACCAGGTGTTATGTGAACTATTCTTGTATACTGTTGTGTCTCGTATGTCATAAACACCCCTCCCCTTCCACCCCCTTACTCACACAAATACTCCTGTTGTTAAATATGCTCGTAAAATTCCCAATCTACCTAGCACCGGGTTTATTTCTCCAAAGCAAATTTGCTGCCGTTTAATGGTCGTCATATCAAACTGTGACCAAAGCTGCATCGCCGAATGAAGGTTTTTATAATGGTGAGCGTGTTTGCCAAGTGCCAATATCCATATCATATAAACGTACAAGGCAATATTCCAAGGACCAATCAAATAGATATGATATTTATAAAACAATCTTTTATTTCTTTTCTCGAACAATATATCGGTACTCCATTTGAAGAAATTCCAGTAATATAGTGTCCTTCTCAGCAATAAGGTCTTCAATTGAAAACCTTCTTATTAAATTCTTTCTTTTTCAAACACTTATTTCAATATCATCAGATCAGCATGCAAGGAATATATAGTTTTTGCATCGTTTATGATCCTCCATCAATATTTCAAGTTCAAATGTTTTTAAAATGAAAAATGATTAACGGCACAGTACTGTTATGTTTGATGGAGCAGTCGGAATCAAGATGTTTTGCATACATTTCGACCAGTATAAAATTATTCAATTTATTTTTTAATTTATGGTGAAACTATGCATAAGTTATTTACATTATATCATGTACTTCATTCTGAAAAAAATAAACCGAATTAGTCAAGTAAAACTTATTTATAATGATTTGACAATCCCGAACATAGTGCCTGTCTATTGGAGATGGATAAACGGAATACAATATACACTTAATTTGAGTGGACCAAACCACGGCCAACGTATACATTGTTCACGATACTTGATGAGCTGGGTAGCTTAATCGAGCAGTTATTCGACACAGAATGAATTTCATTGTTGCGTGTGTCACATGAATATGAGGGAAAACAGTGTTTATCGATCGGAATATACAGCACAATGTGACTACATTGAAAACGAGAGGGGTGGCATTACTTGGTTTACTTTGATAGGAGAAGAATTGATTAAAACACTTGATTCCTTGGTGGGAAGGGCGGGAACGAACAATTCTATTTTGTCCTGATAGACATAATCTGGACAGAAGCACTAGAAGATTCAGAAGTGTGTTTAGTCCGTTTTAAAGTGGTTAACATATATATGTAATAAATAGTTCACTTTCTAAGATAATGATCATATTTTACATTTGATTTTCATAGTAACATGCATTAGACCCATGCGTCATGGCTGCTAGTGTTATAAGTGTATTCTGTCCCCATTTTGTGAAATGTTGTTTTCTGTTAAATTTAGTGATTTTAAAACAATGAATACGCAATTTTATCACAACAAGGTGTCAATATGCAGTAAACCCTTTTGTTTATTGTGTTAGTTTTGTTAAAGTACTGGCTGTCTTGATATCAGGATAACGTAATATTGATAATGGATCAATGTGTGACGTCATTTGCTTACCTGGCACCAGGTGTCTGCACGTGCTATGACACCTATTTGAACATTGTATCCATTTTATGTGTTCCTCTTTTGTAAAATAATTTGAATACATCCTGATCATTTGCTGTTATATTATTTGTTTAGGAACAATGTATTGTGAAGATTGTCTCTGAAAGTGCAATCAATCGATGTAATAATGACATGCACATTGCAGCAAATTTGCTTTAAACGGAATCAGGTGCTAGAACATATTGTTCATGTCATAAATGAACAACGACCTGTCATTCACCCGTGTAAGTTATTAATGTAGATTTCATTACATTACCTTGACAACGTGTTTACTACGTTTGTTCAGAAATTGTATATGGACAATTCTTGCACCCTATCCTTCAAGCGGCCATGTTTGCAGGCGCTAGTTGAACTAGAACAGTTTTACAGCCCCTCCCCCCTTCTCAACCCACTATAAACCGGGATCCTGGTGTCATTAAATTGAGGCGGACATGGGGGTTTATTTACCCACGTTGTGTCCAATACTTGCAATAAGGCGTCTTGTCGGACCAGCGCAGGTTTTCGATCTATTGCGGAACAATGTCCTTCGATGTGTAGATTTCATATTTTGTTCACCACTTAAGGCCTCTAGGCCCGTGGTTAACGTTATTCAGAAATAAATTTTTCTTATGTGGAATTTCCCTTTGTCTATTTCTTTATGTATTGATTGTCTCGCTGGTTTAAAGCCCTGTGTGGAAAATTCAAGGAACAATTTCATTTCGTTCAAAAAACGATTATGATGTCATGTTTTAAGAATGCCCGTCATAGTAGAGTTGTTCAAAATGTGTCAACGTCTATGTATGTGATGAAGTGGTATTGACGTTCTATAACGAGGAGTGACACGCTTTTCAATTGTACTTGGTTTTCACTTCCTGATGATTGACAGTTAACCCCTGTTAAACCATAAACGTGTCTGTCGTACAAGGATATCTTTGTTGTATAACAATATTGTAAAGCATGTGTTCATCTTCGTAAAGAATTCCAAATAATCTTACTAATTACTATATGTTGGTAGATATAACAGAAGCTCTTCATTACACACAATTTTTAACAGAAAATGTTTTTCATTTTGATTTGCAAAACAATTTCTTAAAATAAACTATTCAGTCATAAATTCTATGTAACCAACTTATTAGCTTATAGAATACCAGAATTACAACTGTTAGTTTTCTCAGTAACACTTGCATTTATAAAACGCAAAAACTATTTCGGAGATAGAAAAGGAATCAGTGATGTGAATGTTTATTCACCTCACCTTATTATACACCTTATTAAAGTAAGCAATGACGTGTTGACGTTAAGTGAGCATTCATGAATTCAATTAATTCAAAACTATTAATATCAGTGAATCATTTAAAATTGCTTTCCAACCTTAACCTCGATCGGAGACTACAGTATTGTATATTTCACAGGTATGTTTCCGTTTTGCCAATAACACTTACTAGGTGTTATAGATACTCTGAACATGTATACGTATTTACATTCGTACCTGTTTACATCTTTGTAAATCTTTCAAATCTGGAGATCTGTTATCTCAGTGAGCGTGACAAAATATCCAACTCTGTGTACACATACAGTCATCCACGATACGCTACACCCCGAACAAGACTTTTCCTTGCTGGAGGTGTGAGCACCTGTATGTAGATTCCAGGGACGACATATTATTCTGTAGACGTCTCCAGGCCACTGAACATAAGACGGGTACAAGCCGCAAGGAAGAGTAGCTCCACTTCCATGTATGCAATTATACCGCCGCGGTTCAGTCCCCGTGTACCTGGCAATTACCTAGTATTTAGTATTAAACGTATTGCTGAGACCTCTATTGTCCCGTTAATCGTTCCCATTGGGTCTTTATGAACTTAATCAGATTGTACATAGCATTACAGTTTACAAGGGGTAGTGTGTAGGTCCCTTCCATACCCATCTTCGTCATGGAACAGGCTTCGTGGCTGTCAGACAGTCGTCAAATGTCTCTGTTTAAAGTTGTTTTGTGAATATGACGACAGCTTCTGCTCTGCTCTGCTCTGCTCTGCTCTGCTCTGCTCTGCTCTGCTATGCTATGCTATGCTATGCTATGCTATGCTATGCTATGCTATGCTATGCTATGCTATGCTATGCTAAGCTAAGTATATTAATACTAGTCCATGCCTCACTCTGTTTTGTTTCAACGTGGATATTCTTTAGTTTTCTGTTTGAAGGAAACTTAAGTATTTCTTTTTCATATTGTCTAAAAACAACTTCTACGTGTCCTAAAGTAATTTTTTAATGTATTTTTAGATCGCCTCATGGTCCTGAGGTGTTATCAGAGCTATCTGAATATCAACCGAGAAAGGTAGTTACTGTTAGAGCAAGGCAAGGACCTTCGTTTGTTAGTCTCTTGTTAAATGAAGGACTTTAAATTTAGTTATATAACCCACTGAATAGGGTAACGGTAGTAATGACAATACGTTTTAGTGATTGTACCAAATGCCCACGCCTTATACGGTAGTAATGACAATACGTTTTAGTGATTGTACCAAATGCCCACTCCTTATACGGTAGTAATGACAATACGTTTTAGTGGTTGTACCAAATGCCCACGCCTTATACGGTAGTAATGACAATACGTTTTAGTGATTGTACCAAATGCCCACGCCTTATACGGTAGTAATGACAATACGTTTTAGTGATTGTACCAAATGCCCACGCCTTATACGGTAGTAATGACAATACGTTTTAGTGATTGTACCAAATGCCCACGCCTTATACGCATGATACAGGGGAGACTAAACATACAAAGGCCGAACTATTTAAAACACCCTTTTACCAGTTTGAAATATAATGGGAATAATAATATTTATAACGTTTAAATCGTAAATTGTGTTAATGATGTCTAAAATGGGGTAACACAAAACCAGATCCACCTTGTAGATTATGTACAGTTATGATGTCACCTAGTCCTCCTGTCAACTCGCGGGGGAATAATGATCTTCTACAGTAACACACTCCAGTGATAGATACATCCATATTTGAAGAAGATTGCTGCTGAATCCCGTTTGTGTTGGATAAATATAAAGTGTGGGTATTCAAATAAAAGCATTTTTTATATGTCTGTAAGGATTCAAATGCTTTTTAAGCATCTTATAAAATTATATCACATTTGAAGTGTTGTCAGCAGTGTAAAGGTTAATGTTGATCTCCATCTTTCCATCCCCGTCATGTCAACTCTGTCTCTCTCCCTACACCTACAGCTCTATACAAAGCACTGTGTTTGTCTTGCAGTGCACAGATATATAATCTTCACCATCCTGGTCAGGTGAACACATAGCAGTGGATAACAGAGGCTTTGTAGCGGTTAAACATGCCATAGAATACATCTTCTATAGAAGGAAAATAGGGAAACTTCCAAATGTTTTCATACAGCAGTTTTAAAAGGACACAGATGTTCAAACTTTGCTTTTCAGAAATGATCTGCTCCACAAATATTGCTCTGATGTTAGCGTTATTAGTTTTCACATTATTCGGTTTGGTGATGTGTGTTTGAGGATGCTCGGAGCTTGGTGTGTGTGGGTTACCTACATGTTAATGAGATCGTTTATAGTGTGGTATGTGAATGTATCAACAGTTTCCCTCAATTCTAAGTCATTTGTTTTATATCAAATGACATTCGTCACAGCAAATATGTTTCTGTTTGAGAATTTTTTTCAAAATACTTCAAAAGTTGTAACTTGTCTTATACATATGTCCCAAGAATTAAACATACACATACATTGCTGTTAAAGAAACCGGGCTCTCATACTATTTTAATATGTTCTAGTCTAAGGATGTACACACATAATTAGTTCAACGTACACATAAGGCAGCCTTCATGTTTTGCATAAGCAGTTAAATGTCACCAACAATCAGTGAACGAAATAATTCACCTTACTTGTAAAAGGTAACCTTTTTATACAGTCAGCGAAATGTAACCATCTCAAGTTGAAGCTTCCACTGACAGTCAAGATGTTCAGATGGTGTCCTTTTCTATGGAGTAGAAACCGTCACGGATGAGGAACCGACAATCCCCTGTGTACAGAGGGTGGGTGGGAAGGTCTGTGCACACATGATCTAGGCCGCTTACTTCATTCAACATTTCAATTACATTGAACATTGCAAAGGCGATGAACCGACAAACTTGTGTCTAGGGTACTATGTTAGTTAGCCTAGAACGAGGTTGTGTGTGAAGTTAGTGGCCGTAGTTTAGCCTTGTACTGGCTGCTCGTGGCTGAGGAATGTGTACGGTGTTCATATTGGCACTATAGGGATTGAAGTCAATGGCATTGCTTGATGTAGTCTATCGTTCTTGAACGGTCTTAATGCTGTACTATAATGTTTTTCATGCCAGCACATTATAAAGTGTAAGAATTAGGAAGCAGAGTGACTCTTCAGATGTCTGATAACATATTGTAATGTCTACTAAAAGCATCCTTGTGTTTCTCATGAAATATTTTCTTCTTGAAAATGTGGAACAGTTTTTATATTTGATTATCAGAAAAAAAGGCGGTTTTGTGGAAGGTCTCTTGTGATGTTATATTTTGGTAGTGAATGTTATGTTTTTGGAATTAAACATAAACAGTACCATTTGTTAGGTCCCTGGTGGTATACATACTATCAGTTCGTTTGGGAAATTTTCTTAAATGTATGTAAAGTATTAGTATGTGCATAATCAATATTAGGATATCATGATATAATATGTTGAGTTACTGCGTTGTACATTTTTTTTATGACGAAGCTCTATGACTATATGAATATTCGCAATGCTAGAAGGTGTGTGTATGGAGTGGTATAAAGATTATATTTATTTTATAAAAACCTTTTTCTATCTTTTTTTTATTTTTATTTATTTTTTTATTTTTTGGGTGGGTGGGAGGAGTGGGTAATTTTAGCCATTTAGTGAGGACACTGTCAGCAGGTGTCATTTTGTTTGTCAACAATATATAGCACTACCATATACGTCCAACAAAAATATCTGTCTGCAATTTGCAAGATGTGGTAAAACATTATCTGTCTTACATAATAATAGGAACATGTTCATAAATATCCCTTTCGGGTTCTGTATGAGCCGTCAATCTAAAACAACGTCAGCTAACAATGCGTCGCAAGTATCTGCCGAAACAGATTTCATTAGGTGTAAAGCGCAAAACAGTGATGACATTTATAGCAGTTGATCACTGAAAATCAGTGATGACACCATTAGGTTGCTACAGTATATGCATGTTCTACCGGTAGAACACATTTCACACAGACAAATATGTTGACAGTTGCCCGACGTTGACATACATGGCAAAATATGTCACATTAACGAGATGCTTGGAATTGGGAGGTACCGTATTGATAAGTGTATCGTATTCATCCAATCACTACTCATGTGGATACAAAACGTGGCTGATACAGTTTACATAATTAGACCTCTCTGTAATCATACAAAGCAGACATTCACTGAAATATAACACCAGTATGGAGAAGCGTTACACTGAAAAAAAATTATTTTGACTTTTAATCTTCTATCTGGTCTTTATAGATAACGGGTAAACCTTGAAACCATCACATTACCGAGCCAGAATGTGTTGTTGCTTCGGTGAGTTGATACAATCCATGTACATCTAAATCGTGAATAAT